TGGGCGTCCGGAGCCTGTGCTCCACAACGGGAGAGGCCACAACAGTGAGAGGCCCACGTACAAAAAAAAAAAAAAAAAAAAAAAAATCCCATCAATATTTTTTCTGGAACTAGACAAGCTGATATAAAATGTAATAAGGAAAAATAATTAAAGATAGAAACATTATGAAAAAGAAAAGCAATGAAAGGATATTAGCTTTAGCAGATACTGAAAGGTTTTGTGAAGTCTCAATAATTAAAACAATGCAATATTTGGTATGTGAATAGACGGAAAGAGAGTAGATGCATATAAATTGGAAAGAAAGAGGCAAAACAGTTTCTATTTACATGTTACAACTGTATATAGACCACAGGGGTTGTAACTTTTTGTTAACACTCACTAGCCATTTATGAGTTTCTATTTCTCCACATTCTTGCCTACAGAGCCTGTTGTCAAACTTTTGGATGTTTGCCAAATGAGAAATGACATTTCAATGTATTTCTTTCTTTTTTTTGTAATATCATTTTTAAAATTATTTATTTGTTTGTTTTTTTAAAGATTTATTTTTGATATAGACCATTTTTTTTCTTTTTTCCTTTAACATCTTTATTAGAGTATAATTGCTTTACAACCAATGTAGTTTTAAATTCATCTTTCCTTATTATGAGTAAGGCTGAAATATTTCATGGGATATTTTTATTACTTTATGGTTTTTCAGGTCCATGTTCATGCTGGACTTCTTGATTTAGAAGAGCTCCAACCACAAGATGGAATTGTATAAGGAATGATTTCGATTTAGCAGTGGAGATCCCTGATGACCTTAGAGAGACAGAAACTTCATTAGGTGTTTAGGTAGAGGCAGTGTTCAAGTGGTTACTAAATGTGTGAGGTGAGGCAAGATGAGGAAGTTGGGAGAAGCTGATTCACAGAAGGGTGATGGAAGGGAAATGTAAGGGGTGTCCCCCAAGCCATTTTTATTTAGTAATAAATAAAATGTGTGAGCCTCACACATGAGGCTCACAACCACAACAAGCATCTGAGGCTAGCAGGACTTTGCACAGATATGCACATGAGCATCAGAACAGCTTAAGACCCACCAAGCCTTCCAGCCAGAATGCAGTAGGATGAGGGGGGTAGCCACAGCCACCCCACTTCTGGCCTATCCAGCTTTGAAGCTAAGGAAGGCCAAAGAATGAGGATTATTCAACTTTAGTTTATTCCCTTATATGTGCTTTCTTCTAAAAAGGAAGTGAGAACACACGGAAAGTTGTGTGTGTCAGTATATAAGATCAAAGCTATTTATGGCCTGCGCCTTTTAGTACCCATGCCTAATCATGCCTTTTCCTTCAAGGGCAATGTTTAAAAAGAAGTGTCAAAAAAAAAAGTGTCAATTTTATTAAGAATCTAAGCAAAATCCGTTCCTTTTGTCATCAAAGACGTATCTTAAGGACCGTTATTTACTCCCTTGATTTCCTCAGCTGTGAACTATTACTTGCTGTGCACCCGGCCCTTTGTATGTTATTAATGTGCCCCGGGAATTTAGTTAAGGGTTTGAAGTCCCTGGAGTTCCATGGGAAAGGCATTCTAATAATAGTAACAACTACAATTTCATTAGTTAAAAATTTCAGGACTTCGTTGTACAATGAGAGCGGCAGAGTAAGGGAAATTACACGGATACTTCCCGCCGCCAGTTGCACCCCTCCCAGAAGGAATCCTCCCTCTGTCGGTTCTCCACCTTCGTCCCCTTGTCCTTCAGGGTTAGGGACTGGAGCCCTAACGCCTGCGGCTCAACGTGAAAGGACACCACTCGCTTTGCCCTCTGTACTTGGTCTATGTAAATCTTGTCCTTCCGGGGGACCCAGGAAGCCCTGACTGGGGAACCTCTGATCCCACACTCTCCCAGGGGCTGCTCTCCCCGCACTGGATTCCTATGCCTTGAGGTCCCCCAAAGAGATCTCAGTCTTTCCTGCCAGGGAGCGGGGGCTATCCCTTCCTTATAAGGCCACCTCCTTTTTCCCTCCCAGCTTTGGGATCTTTGCTATTGGGTTCTTTAAAGCGAGAAGGAAACTAGAGCTGGAGGGCTTGGCGGGGGACGGGGGAGCGGGGAGAATCTGTATGCCTCCGACGCGAGAGATAGGGAAAGCCACTTCCCCGAAGTTCAAGGGGAATGAAATCTCACGTGCTGACAAACAATGGAAACCTTACCAAGGACCACCGAGGGCCGGCCCATCTACTATCTTTAGGCGCAGAGGGTGGAGACCGCCCCAGCCCCAGCTCTTCCCTCCCCCCTTCACTCACGCACTAAGATCAAAAGGCGCCTAGTCCTTTCACCCAAGGACCTGCGATTTCGGTCCCCAGCGGCTCGCCTCGTCTGCGGCCGGAGCCCGGCACTGAGGTCGAACGGACTGCCCCTCCCGGGGAGGTGCGCGAGGCGCAGAGGAGAGCGCGGGGCGCGCGCGCGGCGCTCGCCGGCTTGTACCCAGAGGCCACGGTTTGGGATGAGCGTTTGCAGCCGCCCATCTGCCTGCGCTGATCACATCTACCGGAGGCACCCGTCTCCTCCCCTCCGGGATAGCTGCGCCCAGCTCGCTCTCCTCCGTCTGCCCTCCCGCCTCCCCCAGCCTACGGCACTTTTTTCAGCCAGCCCCAGGCCCAAGAACCCCCCGCAGGGGCCGCTGCCACCACCGACCCCCGCTCCCAGAGTTTCCCCTCCCTCCCCCATGGGTCCGTGCGCCCACTCGGGACCGGGGCCCGGGCAGCCACTCACCGTGAGGGTCAGCAGGAGTTGCCGGCAAAGGGCTCCGCTCGCGGAGCCTGTGGGTCGCGCTGCCGCCATGGGAGGACTCGGAGGCAGGTCGCCGGCCGAGGCACCCGGAAGGCCGGGGTGAGGGCCGCGGGCCAGGCGCAGGCTGGGCTGGCCGCTCAGGAGTGCGAGGCAGAGGCCGTGGCGCGCGGGGGGAGCTGCTTTCTTCTCGGTTTTTCTGAAGCTTCTGCGTCTCACCCCAGGAGCTTTTCCTCTGACCGAGGGTGGGGTTCCAGGCGCGTCCGAAACACACCGATCGGCCCCTCCTTGGTATTTTTCTCAAGTCTTTATTTCTGGAAGAACGCCAACAGGTGGGAACTCCCTCTCGCCGCCACCCTTTTTCTGTGCTAGGTGTTCCTCACCGACGGACACCACCCATGTGCCCCATCTCCCCACCGCCCCGGTATCCGCCTTGAGGATTAACAGCTGGCCCTGCCCAGCAGAAGACCTGACTATACAGAGACTTTGTCCCCGAGCGCGTCCTGCCGCAGGACGGGGCGCGCTGCCGGCCCCGACTCCGCCCCGTGCGCAGAGGCCAGTTTCAGACCCGCAAAGGCCGCCTGGGAGCTGGAGAGGTCGCGTTTTGTGTCACAGCTAACTAAGGCCCGCCTATTAGAGGGTTGACCCCAGGTAGATTGTTTTATACACTCTTTGCTGGAGTTAATTTACTGCAGACATCCAAGTGCAATTCAGACAGAGGTTTCACCTGTGGCACACCTTTCTTGGGGTCTTGTTTGGTTGTTGTCTTTTTTTTTTTAACAGAAATGTCATGGCCAGTATAGCAATGATACAAGGAAATTACAATAATTAATCAATTAAAATAAGGGAATCGTGGCATCAAGGGTGAGTTACTACTGAAAATACATCTTGTAGACGTTGGTTAAATGTGGGCCTACTGATTTCCTCCAAGACCCTCCTTTGTCACAGTTAAAGCCAACCACTGACCTTCTTGTAACTTACCTCCTAAATTGGACTCCTGGACATCTGAGATTTCTCTCTTCCCTTCCTACCATAAAAAACAGAGTTCGTGGTAAGAAAAGAAAAAGAATAGGATAAAATGTATGTTTTGGTTTGAAGTATACTTAAACTAGATGAATTATAGGAGTACTTAAACTGGAAGATTAAAATATAAATGAGGTATGCTTGCAGCTCTTCAGAAAGCAATGACAGGGCATTCTGAATCATCCTCCTGCACCTCTTTTCAATTATGGCTTAAACCAGGGAATTCTGACCACAAAGGAGAAACTTGTCTGTTCCATTTCATTTGGTTTGTCTCCACAGGGATGTGTGGAGAAAACTTGTTTGAAAATCCAGCCGTGATACATTTCAGCTCTTGAAAACATGTACAGTCCTAATACCATTATACACGGAGCCAAAATTATTATAATATTGACCATATACTTAAATTCAAAAGCATTGTCAAACAGTTCCTGCGTTACATTCTATGTATTAGTCCCATGCTCTATTTTATTACTGAATGACATATAATGAGCTGTTCTGTTGTCTCCATGTATATAAAATTTATCATTGAACCTTTGCTTGTAAAATAAGCCTGGGTCATCAGCATGAGACTATGGTTGACATCCTTCTGTTTCCATAATTTTTTAACCCTCATGTTTTTTCCAGCAATGCTTGCTTTCATAAACACACCTCATCCTATTAATGACGATATCATGATCTCTAGCGTGAAGCTTTCCAGAGGAAGAGAAGCAAGCTAGTTTCAGGTTTAAGAAATCTACTCAGGCTGTCATCATAGCCCTTGACAATAGGACATTTCCAACCTCTTGCCTACCCCTCAACCTTTAATGCCTAAGGGTAGCTCATGTTTTTCCACATTCCAGAAAAGGGAAGAAGAGCAATTTGAAAAGAATTCGCCTTAGATATTTATTTTCATCTTTCACATTACATAACTGATTGAGGCTACTAAGATGGTGATTTGTTTGTTTCATTGTGATTCTTGAAACAAAGAAATGAATTATAAACTCTAAACAAGGGGCCCAATTAATTTAATAGATTTAAATTAGACTATATGGCTTCTGAAATAGATTCTTCTATACTACAGTCTTGAGACAACAGGTATAAATTTGAAGAGACAATGACATATGGGAAGATGAAATTTTTAAGTATGTCTTTTGGCTGTGAAGATGATTTTGCTGACTGGAACTGGTTTTCCATTCTGCTCTAGTAAAGAGTACACCGGACCAAAAGTCAGGACCAAGTTCCTTTGTGTCTTGGGCCACTCATATAACCTTAGCGCTCAGCACTCTTGTTTGTTAAGTAAGATAATTAAAGTAATACTAGATGCTCTCTATGACGCCTTCCACATCTAAAATTAAACTACTTAGACTCCTTGTGGCTTATTTTTGAGAAGTTGGCTGGAAATAGGTGTTCCTTTCCAAGTAGAAAGTCAGAACCAGAGTTGTCCTTAAAAAACTGAACAAACAGCAACAAACAACAAGGCACTTGGGGCACATCTCTGCAGCCTAGCTTCACAGTTTCCTAATTTTAGAAATCGGAAACTGAACATATTAATGGCAACAAAAAAATACCACTTACTGATATGTACACAGGGACAGCTCTCTTTGAGCTGCGTGATTCCACTGTTGAAGCCTGGGGAGAAGGGTCCACGTGGACACGTGATCTTTAGGGTGCCTCTGTCTTTTTTTTTTTTTTTTTTTTTTTTTTTTTTTTTTTTTTTTTTTTTTTTTTTTTTTTTTTTTTT